TTCTGTATTTTTTTCCCTTTTGAGAACCATACCTCTATTCGTTGATTCTGAAACGTCATTCTGTGTTTCTTGTTTTCTGTTTTTTCTTTCCAGATCTCTATCTTTAATTCTTGCTTTTCAATCTTTGCTTTCATAGTTTTAGGTTTGGGATTTGTCTATAGAACCTTTAATTTTTAGGGAAAACTGAAACAAGCCTTATCAGTCCTTACCTAGGGCTTTTCGAGGTTCTAATAACCCTTTAAGAGCGCCTTCTTTCTGAAACCTAGGCTTCTGAACTTAGGCCGACGTTATGGGTATGTGGAGACATAGGGTAAACACCCCAACCAAACTCGAATACTTTAGGCAGGAGTTCTCCATCCCTGCCGATGTTCACCTCAAGCTAGCTGGGGATGACGATTCTATCATGCCCACAGATCATACGATGCCCTTTCCTATTGTAGCCTTTACTGAATGCGGACTTCGACTTCCACTTAATTCCCTTTTTCGCGAAGTTCTCCACTACTATAGGTTGAACCCTATTATAGACGCGCTCGCGAGGGGAGGGCCTCGCTGCTACAGTTCGGACTCGATTTGTGTCACGGTTCTTAATCTGAACCAAAGAGTCCAAATCCGGCAAATCGTTTTGAGAAACAAATTTTTTGAAAAGAAGTGCCAAACATGGACTCCTTTGCCAGATACAAAGTCGCCACCTAAATATTTTTTATGGGGGAATTTAGGAAACTCTGACTCGGTGCCGAAGGCCACATGTCCGTCATCACCAGAGTTGCCTCGGCTCGGGAGCTTGGGTACGATTGGGGAAGGTCAGCTATGAGCACCCCCTCTCGCCCGATCTGAAGATCGGCCTCTACTAACCGTGATATCCGTTTTTGAAAACGTTATGTGTTCTTATCCCGATTATTAGCCTAGAATTACTATGTTATGCGCACAGCAAACAAGTATAGACTAGATTGCCTAATTTGGAAATAAGCATTGCATATCCGTTTGTCTTGAAAAAAAAACACTTTGGAATTTGCTACTCGCAAGTAGGCTAAACACGGATTTCAACGAGTGTTCCCAACTCAGGCAATCCAACCTTCACCCACAGGTATTCAAACAGTTTATCACATAAGCATCTAGCCACATGGTAAACATGTTGTCATGATAGCATTCACACACATAAGATATGCTAAAGCATAAATGCTTACCGGGTACTCCGAGCCAAAACAATAAACTCGTCAGTAAACAATGCATGATCCAAGTCCATGTTTAAATGTCTAATGCAACACATACATGATGTCACTAGAGTAGGCTCGGCTAACCTAAACATGGCATGTGAAATGCAATCAATTGATGCACGTATTCAATTTGGAATTGAAGTACAAATGCGGTTAGCATGATGTACCGAGCCCGGTGCATGCGAGACAAATGTATGGATGCACGCATGCATAGCATGAGATATGCTAATTTAAACATGCCCTAATCTACCATCATAAGCAGGTAAATAAAAGGGAAGAAAGAAGTGGGGGTTGGGAGACATGCACACACTCACCCACACTTATTGCAAGTTTACCCTCGCTCGGAGGGATCGAAAGAATAATACAGTTTGAATGATGAATTAACTATCCTAGCTAATTAATTATTACAAATTACCTAATTAGTTAACAAGCTAACTAAGCTAGAAAAAATAGTAAACCGCCTCGGGAAGAGAGTTCGATGCACGCGTGCTCGGGTCTTGCTCGGAAGTGCACTGCCATGCGCAATCTGCCTCTGTTTTCCCTGCTCTGCTCCTCTGAAGACTGTCAAAGTCTCAGAGTTGTTTCTCTGGACAATGGGAGACACCACCGGCTGAGTATAGTGGTCACCGGCAGTAGCATGTGGTCATCGGCACATAATGAATCCATCGGCTGCAAGTTTATTGCCGGTCGGCACTCTATGGAGTCGATCGGCAGAGAATGCCTGCAGAACCTGTTTGACAGCAGCAGAGGACAGGACTTTGCATGGCAATACAATTCAGGCCATATATGCACCAATCATGTTCCTTATCATGTGAGTGAGTCAAAGGGACATGCTCCTTGGTTCTCGGACCATCAATCGCGCATTTCCATGCGTGATGGCCCAAGTGACCAAGTATGCACATTTTGATGTTAAGTGCAATGCAAACCAACAAACCAAAGGGGTCCAATCCCTATCACTAACTCAAGGGACAAGATATGCATATTCAATGCAACTTAGGCATGTTAGCTAGGGATGCAACATAGTAATGCAATGCAAGCAAGCAATGAACAAGCATGCAAGCTAGTGGACATGCAAGACATGGTGCAATCAAAGCATGCAAAGTGTAAGACATGTAACAACATGTAAAGATTGGACTTAAACATGATTTGGGCAGCTCTAATTAGGCCCAAAACAGTGGCCATAGTGCCCAAAATGAAGGACTAAAACACACACACACATGCATGCAAAGGATGTCCAATACTTCAAGCATTTAAAAGCAATTCTCAAGCACAATTAAGAGAATGCAAACATGGATAAATGACATGCATTAAGCTCTGAAAATTATGCAAGAATATGGTGCTAAACCAAGCAAACAAAATAGGCTAAGCATGCAATAAATGGCCCAAGTGCTTGAAGCAAGTCAAAGGGACTTGAACCATGGCTAAGCCAACCAAGCCTCATAAGGCCTAGGGGGCTTCAAACAGGTCCAAGGCAGACCTAGACCATGCAAAGGGGACCCCCTAGATGGCGTCTAAGTGGCCCAAATTCAAAGGCATGTACAATGGTCAAAATATGGAGCATATGACACAAGCTCATAAGGCATCAAAGAGACATCCAAGGCAAGCATATAAGCATGCAAAGGGGACTGAAATAACATGGTGGATAATTCCAAACCACTAAATCAATGCAAGAATGTCATGCTATACATTCACACACTTAAGGCCAACAAGCCGGAATGCAAAGAGGCCATACAATGCATGCCAAGATCGACCCAAACAACTATGGACAGACCTTATACATGGCAAAATAAGCATGAAAGATTCACAATACTAAGCCTAAAACATGCTAGAATAAGGGTTTACAACCTAAGGCATGTTAAGGCAATAAAGTGGCATTACAAGGTAGGTATGCTAAGCATGCATGGTGTACCAAAACCAACAAAAAACAGAGGCATATTATGACATAATAAGCACAAAAAACAGCCAAGGCATGGTCAACATGAAGCTCTACTAGGTGCTCCCTCAAGAGGCCAAAAATGGTCCATTTCAAGGACAACAAGGAGAGGGGCTGACCCTCTCCTTTCTAGGACCTCAAGGCACCATCCTCACCTCTGAAATCCCTCAAGATTTCAGTAGTGAGGAGGCCCAAACACCAAGGTCTCGGAGCTTACACAAAATAGCACAAAATGGAGCCTTACAAGGCTTAGGAGGGGTCAAACAACCTCAAACAACGAAACGCCCTAAATAAACTATTTAGAGGGTCTAAAAACAGAACTTTTTTATGTTATACACTAAGCACAAAAACAGTTCTAAGATAGGCAAAATAAGTATGCAAGAATGGGGAATAAATGGACTAGTTTCTTACCCTTGAAGACCCCTTCAACAATGGTGGACCAGCAGCTTCTTTTAGGTTGAAACCAGCTTCAAAACCTCAAAAACAACCCTCAAGAGGTCTCAGCTCCAAGGGATGGTGTAATGGTGGGTGCTTGTGAGCAAAAGTAAGACAAAACACACACACTAAGCTCAAGAAAGAGAGAGAGAGATATAGGATAGATACAAAATCCTAACCCTAATATCAAAACCCTCTAAAATGTTGTCTAACCCTAATGCCAAGAGAGGAGACTCTCTCTTATAGAGCTCTCTCTTGTAAAGCTTGTCAAATAAGCTTGGTTAGAGGGAAATCCCTCCATACACGTGTATGGAGGCACAAAATATCTACCAAAAGTAGATGAACAGTAATCGGCTGCTCAAAAATGCCATTTTGACAAAATTGAGTGCCGACCGGCAACAAACAGTGCCGACCGGCAATATATATTGCCGATGGCAACAAAACACCAGCCGGTGGCTTCTGGCCATGGCCGGTGATGTGTAGGGATGCCTCACAAGGCATTCCCTGCCCCTCCAAGGCAAAACACAAGTGTTTGGTGCAAAACCAGATACTAAACAGTTGAGTTCGGAGATCCTGAGGCAAGGCGCGTAGCCGAGACCTCCGGGAACTCCAAACGAACACAAACAAGGGTAATCACCAAGTGTTCCAATGGTGACGTCCAAGTCTTGAGGACGGTCAAAAATGGGGTGTCTACACCTATGCAACTTGCCATAAACTCTTATCGAGTGATTTTTGGTATCATCGCCTTAGCTAGACAAGAAAACGTTAGAATCACCCTTGCCGATATACAATATTGTTATACCATGTGTCCATTTAGCCTGAAGGAAAAAGGTTACGTCTACTACCTCAAGCCGAGGTCCACCGAGTTCAAAATTGTAGCCGACCTCCCAAACTCCAACAAGGGAGCCGGGGATGACTTTGTTATTGCTTCGGGAAGTTGGGAATTTGGCCCAGACGAAGATGTTCACCGCTACCCTCTTCCTCGAACAGTTAAAGAGGGCAAGGGTAAGAGCCCAGCGTCAATACCTAGTTGTTTCTTTTCAAGTCTTCAAAACTTTGTCTGTTTCTAACGTCTGTTTGTTTGTCCTGCAGATCTTCATCAGTCACCAAAAAACTTTCGCCAATCATACTTCCCAGGCAAAGACCTGAAAAAGCTCCTAGATCTTCCCATCCAGAGGCGCAAGGCTCCACTGGTGCTGAACTTTATTCCAACATACAAATCAACTCTGCCCGACGTCCCAAAAAGAAAAAAGAAGAGCCTATCTCCTCCCTCTGCTACTACTCTTCAAACAACATCAACATCTCGGGCTGACCAAGGGTCAACCTCTGATCCAGCCAGCCAACCATCAACTTCTTCCCTATACCTAATCCCAATACCAGAAAGAAAACGTCAGCGAAGACTCGTAAAAACTGCCGAGATGGTTCGCCCAAAGCCTGTCACCCAAGATCTCCTAGCCAATCTTCCAACCGACGTCGATGCTGTTCTGACACAACCTATGCCCCCACTGAAGCCAAGAAGAACCAAGAAGGCCCAGCCTAAGACCAAGGCTACTGAGGTTGAGGCTGAGGATGCTCTACCCATCTCCAAGCTGGCTGAAAGCAGCAAATCTCAACCTTCCGCTGGGAAGAGGCGTGCAGAATCCCAGCCATCAGAATCTACTCAACCCAAGAAGCCGAGGTCGTCGACGACCTCGGGGTCCAAAAAATCTGATGTTCCTTGGGCTCCCCAGATTACTCTGGAAGATAGGCCCATAATGACCAATGAAAGCGCCGATGACATTAATGTCGGCGTTGCCCTTACTACGGCGCTGCTCCTTCCTGGTGATTTGGAGCGGAATGCCGGGTATAGTGAATATGAGAACTATGCCCTAATGCTCCAGCACTCTGTTCAAGTAAGCGTTCCTGCTTAGTACTTTTTCTTCTATTCTGTTTTGTACTTAAAAATATTTTCTAACACTTCTGTTTTCTTTCAGGCCATCCAGCATGCCCACTCATTTTCAATGCAATCTTTCCAGAATCGAGAGAAGCTGGTCGACCTGAGGAGGGAGGTTTCCTCCCTCAAAAAGGAGAATAAATCTCTTGAATTAAAGATGAAAAAATTGGAGGATCAGGCCGAAGCTACCACCAAAGCCCAAACCTTAGCCGAGGAAAAGGCTGAATCTGCTGAGGCCATCAAGACAGTTGCTGAATCCCAAAAGAAAGAGGCCGAGGCGAGAGCGGCCCAGGCCGAGAAGGAACTTCAGGAAGCCTTGGCCACAAAGGAAGCCGAAATCAAAGAGGTTGATGAGAAGGCATATGCTCAGGGCGTGGCCGATGTCACTGAGGATTACAAGCTTCAAGTTAGGCAGGCATGTAACAGGGGATTTTCCCTTGGTTGGATGTCCCTGATAAAAAAACTTGATCTCCCTGTTGACTCACCTTTCCGCAATGGTGATGCTATTCCTCTCCCATTTCCTCCACCTCCACCTCCAAGCCAAGCTGAAGATGAATCAGAGTCTGAGGCTGAGGATGAAAACAACAATGATGATGAGGCCCTAGTGAGGAAATCCAAGGATGCTGCTGAAGCCATGTCCTTTCCTTCCACTGAGCAGGTCATCAACTTAACTCAAGATGAAGAGGATGGTGAGGTTGAGGAGGTGTCCAAGGAGGCTGTTCTAGGGCAGCTATCATCCGACCTTCTTCTGGCTGAAAGAAGTCTTGATAAAACAATAGCATAGATTGACGCCGAGCTGGCGGCAGAGAAGGTTGTCGAAGTGGTTTCGCAAGAAACTTCCGAGGTCCAGACCCAAACTGCTCCTGGGGCTGAGGAATCACAACTTTGATGTCTTTCTTTTTTTGTACTTTGTACTTTGTTTCAATTTCTGGACAATGTAAGCTCCCTCTTATGGTCGATGTGTGTATACAACTGCAACTGTTTTCCTCTGAATGCTTCAATTTTTATTTTCTCTGGATTACTTCTGTGTGATTCTATACTTAGCATGTGTTACACGCCTTTCATATCTTGCCACCTTTGTGCAATCTTCTCGGGGTAACATACCTCGGGTATAATAACTACAAGCTTTACTTCGGCAAGATACTGTCCTGCAAACTTGTCATAGATTTTAACAAGTATGAAACATGTACTACTTAATGTTAACTTTGCAAGCTTCTTCTCAAATTTCAACAAGTATGTAAACAGTGATCTCGGTCTAATCTACTTGTAAATTGCTACAAATTTCAACAAGTGTTTAAACAATATACTTAGCTTTTACTTCAACTTGTAAATTGCTGCAAATTTCAACGGATGATCACATGTTGGCTTAACATCAGCTTGTAAATTGCTACAAATTTCAATAAGCGTTAAGCATCTTCCATTGGTTTAGACAACCTATATATTGCTATAAGGGCTTCAGCAATAACCTCGGCTTCACTTCAGTTTGTAAATTGCTACAAATTTCAACAAACGAAGAGAAGCAGTAATCTCGGCTTAACTTCAACTTGTAAATTGCTATGAATTTCAACAAGTGAAGATAAGGAATCAGCTTAATTCCAACTTGTAAATTGCTACAAATTTCAACAAGTGAATTAAGGAATAATCTCGGCTTAACTTCAACTTGCAAATTGCTACAAATTTCAACAAGTGAAGATAAGGAATCAGCTTAATTCCAACTTGTAAACTGCTACAAATTTTAACAAGTGAATTAAGGAATAATTTCGGCTTAACTTCGGTTAAGCATCATCTCGGTTTAACCAACTTGTAAATTGCTACAAATTTCAACAAGTGGTAAACGCATTCTTGTTCTCCCTACCCCCAATGTGAACCTGAGTTCTACTTGGGTTCTCATTATTCATGTCTCCAAAGAATATGTAATTTTATCAGTCATATGTGTTGAAAGAACTCTGAAAAAAACTTTATTGATAACATCAGCCAAAAAATAATGCATATCTAATGATAGAAAAATTTCAAATTACAAGTGTTCCAAGGCCTTGGCAGTGCTTTGCCCTCGTTATCTTCAAGCCGATAAGCTCCATTGCCTAATACCGAAGTAATTCTGTAGAGTCCTTCCCAGTTTGGGCCAAGCTTGCCCTCTCTGGGATCCTTCTTGTTGCCGACGACTTTTCTCAAGACTAGGTCGCCGACTTGAAATTCTCTTGGATTAACCTTCTTGTTGTAAGCTCTGACAAGCTGTTGCTGGTATACTGCAAGCTGAATTGTAGCTTTTTCTCTTCGTTCTTCCAGAAGATCCAGATCTCGGGCCAAGAGTATGTCATTGGTGCCATTCTCTACTCCCTGGTTCCTGATCCCTAGGATGCCGATCTCTAATGGGATGATTGTTTCTGTGCCATAAGCCATGGCAAAGGGGGATTCCCCTGTTGATCTTCTCGGCGTAGTCCGATATGCCCAAAGTATGTTGGGCAATTCGTCTACCCACTTTCCTTTTGCTGCTTGCAACTGCTTCTTTATTCCATCCAAAATTACTTTGTTGGATGCTTCTGCTTGCCCATTACTTTGGGGAAAACTTGGTGTTGAAAAATAATTTTTGATCTTGAATTTCGCACAAAAGTTCTTGATGAGTTTGCTGTCAAACTGCGTTCCGTTGTCGGCAACTATTGCTCTTGGAATTCCAAATCTGGTGATGATGTTTCTCTATATAAAGTTCTTGACGTCCACATCTTGGATTTTGGCAAGAGGTTCTACCTCTATCCATTTTGTAAAGTAATCTGTTGCCACCAACAAGTATTTTCTCTGCCCAGTTGCCTGGGGAAGTTTCCCAACCAGATCCATGCCCCATTGGGCAAACGGCCAAGGGCTGGATACTGGGTTTAGGTCAGCAGCTGGCTGATGTATCAAAGGTGCAAACTTTTGGCATTGTTCACACTTTTTTACGTAGGCTTCAGTATCCTTCTGCATGTAGGGCCACCAATACCCCTGGGTAATGGCCCTGTGGGCTAATGATCTGCCCCCAGCATGGCTTCCACAAATTCCTTCATGAATTTCATACAGGAAATCTTCAACCTATAAAGGGTGTACGCACCTTAAAAGTGGTCCAATGAAGGACCTTCTGTAGAGGTGTCCATCTTCTGTCAGACTGAATCTTGCCGATTTCAGCCTGACTTTGTGTGCCTCTTTATGATCTTCTGGCAGCTTTCCTTTTTTTAGGAATGCAACAATTGTATCCATCCAGCTTGGCCCCATGTCCACACACATTGCTTGCTGCTCTGTGTTCTCTTTTTCTATTCTTGGGCCCGACATATAGTCGATCATAATTGTCCTTGTTTTTCCAGTCTGTATTGAACTTGCCAGGTTAGCCAACGCGTCGGCGTGGGTGTTGTCATCTCAGCTAACTTGGAGCAGTCGACAGTTCTGAAATAGGGCTGCCAATCTGATGACCTTTTTTGCATATGCCGACATCCTTTCGTCCTTGGCTGCAAATTCACCTGTGGACTGGTTAACAATAAGTTGTGAATCACAAAAAACTATTACCTCATCTGATTCTGCTGCTGCTGCCAGTTTTAGCCCTGCAATTAATGCTTCGTATTCCGCTTCATTGTTTGAGGCCTTGAACCCCAAACGGATGGACTGTTCTATTATTTCTCCATCTGGAGATATCAGCAGTACTCCTACCCCTGCGCTTTGTCGGTTTGAACTTCCATCGACAAACAGTCTGAATGAGTCGCCGATGTAGATGCTGCAGGGTCTGAGTTTTTCCTTCCTTTGCTCTTTGGTTTTTGGCTGAGATTCTCCTTGCTTGCTGGGACAATGCTCATCTTGGCTTAACAGAGCCCAATGTTCAGTGGTTTGGGGGGTGAATTCTGCCACGAAGTCAGCCAAAACTTGGCCTTTAATCGCTGTTCTCGGCCTGAACTCCAGATTATACTGACCTAGGGCTACGGCCCATCTTGCTATCCTTCCTGTTAAGTCTCCTTGCTGTAATAAGGACTTCAATGGATGCTCTGTTAAGACCACAATTTTATGTGCCTGAAAGTAATGGTTCAGCTTCTTTGAAGCCATTACTAAGGCTAGCATTAATTTCTTCAGTGGTAGATACCTTGTTTCTGCGCTAGCCAGAGTTTTGCTTACATAGTAAACAGCCTTTTGCTCCCTTTTTTCTTCTCGGATTAGTACTGCACTGACTGCGTGTTTTGAAACTGCCAAGTACAAATATAGTTCTTTCCCTTGTTCTGGATTGGAAAGAACCGGAGTCGTGGTCAAGTACCTCTTTAGGTCGGTTAAAGCGGCTTCGCATTCTTCTGTCCACAGAAAGTCTGTGGCTTTTTTCACCAAGTTCAAGAAGGGTCTGCATTTATCTGAGCTTCTACTGATGAATCTGTTTAGGGCTGCGGCCCTTCCAGTAAGCATCTGAACCTGTTTTGCCGACGTCGGGCTCTGCAGCTCTAGGATGGCCTTGATTTGGTCTGGGCTGGCCTCAATGCCCTTTCTCGTTACCAGATACCCTAAAAACTTACCTGATCCAACTCCAAACGCGCACTTTGACGCGTTGAGTCGGAGCCGATATGTTTTGAGTATATCAAAGACCTCTTTTAGGTCGGCAAGATGACCCTTAGATTCCTTGGTCTTCACGACCATGTCATCGATGTAGACTTCTACCGTTCTACCAATCAGGTGCTTGAACATTTTTGTTACTAACCTTTGGTAAGTTGCTCCTGCGTTTTTCAACCCAAAAGGCATTACCTTGTAACAGTATAGTCCTTTAGGGGTGATGAACGCGGTTTTCTCCTCGTCTGGAGGGTACAAAGCAATCTGGTGGTACCCTCTGTATGCATCAAAAAACTCATCCTTTCATGCCCTGAAGTTGCATCTACTAGCTGGTCAATCTTGGGCAGAGGAAAGTTGTCTTTGGGGCAGGCTTTGTTGAGGCTGGTAAAGTCTACACAAATCCTCCATTTGCCGTTCTTCTTCTTCACCACTACTGTGTTGGATAGCCAAGTTGGGTAGTGAACTTCTCGGATGGCCCTGGCCTCCAGAAGTCTATCTACTTCTTCTTCCACTGCTTCGACGTGCATCAACGACGGTCTTCTGGCTCGTTGAATCACAGGTTTTGCCGACCTGTCGACATTCAGTCTATGGCAAGTGACCTCGGGGTTAATTCCAGGCATCTCGTAAGGTGTCCAGGCGAACACCTCAATGTTGGCTCTTAAAAAATCTTCCAGTTCTCTTTCCTCTTCTTCGGCTAAGCCTGAGTCGAGAAGAAAGAAGCGTTCTTCGTTGCCCTCCTGGACAAGGATTTTCTTTAGTGTCTCTTCACTTTTTTCGGTCGGCTCCTGTCACAACCCAAACCCGGCCCTATGGGTTTAGCACCGTAACTGGCCAGTATTTTCCTGGATGATACAAAATTTGTAAATCATAGCCCTTAATCAATTCCAACCATCTCCTCTGTCTCATGTTCAATTCTTTTTGAGTGAAGAAATATTTGAGGCTTTTATGGTCAGTATATACTTCGCAAGTGACATCAAGTAGATAATGTCGCCAAATTTTTAAAGCGAAAATGACAGCTACCAATTCAAGGTCATGAGTCGGGTAATTCTTCTTATGTGGATGGAGTTGCCGAGAGGCATAAGCAATTACTTTCCCATTTTGCATTAACACACACCCCAAACCTTTGTAGGAAGCATCACTGTAAATCTGAAACCCATCAGTACCATTGGGCAAAGTCAAAATCAGTGCAGTTACTAGTCTGGTCTTCAACTCATGAAAGGCTGACTCTCCCTATTCATTCAAATCAAATTATACATTTTTCTGAGTTAACTGGGTCAATGGCATGGCAAGTTTTGCAAAGTCTTTCACGAATCTTCTGTAATAACCTGCAAGTCCCAGAAAACTTCTAACTTTTGTCACATTTGTCTGTTTAGGCTAGTCCACAATAGCTTCAATTTTCTGTGGGTCAACAGAGATACCATCCTTGTTGATTACGTGTCCCAAAAATGTTACACTGTCAAGCCAGAATTCACATTTGGACGATTTCGCATATAGCTTATTTTCTCTTAGAATCTATAACACAGTTCTCAAGTGATTCTCATGATCTTCCCTGCTTTTGGAGTAAATCAAAATATCATCAATAAATATAACAACAACTTCGTCCAGAAATGATTTAAACACTCTGTTCATAAGGTCCGTAAAGGCAGCAGGTGCATTAGTCACCCCAAACAGCATTACTAAAAATTCATAATGTCCATATCTAGTTCTGAATGCAGTTTTCTCTATGTCTTCTGCCTTAACTTTTAACTGGTGATACCCAGATCTGAGGTCAATCTTGGAAAACACTTGGCCTCCCTGAAGTTTATCAAACAAGTCATCTATTCGGGGCAAAGGGTATTTGTTCTTGATAGTTACTTTGTTCAATTCCCGATAGTCTATATATAACCTCAAAGATCCATCTTTCTTTTTGACAAATAGGGCTGGAGCACCCCAAAGTGAAGTGCTCGGACGGATGAATTTCTTGTATAGCAGTTCTTGAAGATGAGTTTTTAATTCTTTCAATTCTGAGGTTGACATTCTATAGGAGGTCTTGGAAATAGGTTGTGTTCCTACGATTACTTCAATAGTGAATTCAATCTCTCTATCAACTAAGTCCCCAAGCAAGTCATTCAAAAACACATCGGGAAATTCACGAACAATAGGAATGGTTTCCACATTAGCACTATCAGATGATGCAGTCAATATACAACACAATTAGCCCCTACATCCCTTCCTAAGCAATTTCACAGCTTTCATGGCCGAAATCAGGTATGGGGGAGGAACTACCCCATTTCCAGTAAAAATAAATTCAGGCATACCTGGTGGTCTAAACACAACAGATTTACTTGCACAGTCAATAGTAGCACAGTATCTAGTCAACCAGTCCATACCCAAAATACAATCAAAATTATCAATGTTCAAGGGCAACAAGTCAACATACAAGGTCATATCACCAATCATAATGTCACATGCCGGATAAACATAAACACATATCATAGAACCCCTAGATGGTGTAGATACAGATAACACATATGTCATAGGTTCTAGTGGTCTAGTGAATTTTCCAGAGAAAACATGCGATACGAAGGAATGTGTAGAACCAGAATCTGTCAGTACACATGCATTTTGAGAACATATAGGAAGTTTACCTGACACCATAACTTCTGTGTTCTGTACGTCACCACATACTAAGGCAAGCACTCGACCTTGCCTCAGAGGTTCTTTTCCAGTATTAGCTTTTGCATTTGTTTTGACCGTAGAAGCGGACCCAACTGAACTCACCATAGGACGGCTGGCATTCTCAGACCCAAGTGGGCAATCTTTCACTACATGGCCTTTCTTGCCACGTCAGAAACAAGCACCGGATGCTCGATAGCATACACCCCTATGCCTTCCACAATCAAGAAAAATCAGAATAGACCCACTGCTCTGACTCGAGTTGCTTGTAGACCCCGTATTCTGCTTTTTACTTATATGAGAACAGCCTTTTCTGAAACCACACCCAGACCTTTTTCTTCTCCAATCAGTTATTGTTGTTGCTGGGGCCTTACTTTGTCTCTTAGCGGCTACAGTGGCTTCTGCCATTAAGGATCTGTCAAGAACTTGCACATATGTTGGCAACTTTAATACACCAACTCGATCAAATATGTCTAAGTCCAATCCTCCTTCAAATTTATGGGTTTTCTTGTAGTTTGTGTCCACCATATGAGGAGCAAATCTAACTAATTTAGTGAACTTTGCCTCATACTCAGCTACAGACATTCTGTCTTGCTTAAGTTCTTGGAATTCGGACACTTTTCGGTCCCAAAAACATTGAGAAATATATTTTTCATAAAAGATCTCATTGAATCGAGCCCACGTCATATTTCCATTGGTATTCTGAATCAGTAACCACCATCTCCGAGCTTCGTCTTTGAGAGTATATGTGACCAATAAAACTTTCTGAGTCTCGGTATAGGGAAATACTTCAAACAGTTTTTCCATCTCGAGCAACCATGTTTCTGCTTTCAACGGTTCAATTCCACTCAAGAACGTTGGCAGTTTCATCTTCATGAATTTCTGTGTTAGGTAGGTAATGTCATTATTATTTGATTCGGCTTGTACCGGCAGAGGAGGAGGGGGCAAAGGTTATGGTCTTTGTTGTTGCATCATAGCTTCAGTCAATGCCGCAAGCATCTGTTCCATTCGGCTCATGCGAGCCTCTGAAGATTCACTTATATCATTTCTCTTTGCATTCTCTATGTTACTATAGAGACACCAAACAATAATAAACATAAGAATAATCTCGTTCATTTCTTTCAATTCATTTACTCAGATTTACATTCAGTTTTCATATCCATTTGGATTACCACACACTCACACATGCAGATGGAATGTCCCTAATTCTTACTAGGACAACCTAAGTTCATATGGACCTGTGTGTGCAGTAGAACATGTGCTCTGATACCACTCTGTCATGACCCAAACCCGCCCCTATAGGTTTAGTATCGCAACCGGCCAGTAATCCTTAGATTACCAAAGGCCTTATGACAGATTAACATATAGATAGGCGCTGTGGAAGCAAATATACAAAATAGACAAGGTCCAATGAGATGTGATAACATACATGAGACAGAATAGCTTGAAACTTTTATAAAATGCGGGCAAAGTCAACACACATAATATATACACAACACACTTAGGCGTACATGACAAAAATCTCACCCATAACTTTAACAAACAAACATAGTCTAATACAGATTACAAAAATAGCCACAAAACCAAACTTCATCAGGAACCTTCTCGGGAGGCGCAAAGGTTGGTTGACAAAACTGAAGCGTAGGCCGTCAACTCTGGCCCTGATCACGTACTGGCTCACCTACATACATAATATAAATAGTGAGCGGAAGCCCAGTGAATAATAACGGAGTAAAAGGGTTTTCATGAATGATGTTCTTACAGATTCAAATTCATAATCATGTTCAGATCATATACAGAAATCATAAGTCGTGCTTAATCATACGCGGTACATCCATTAGTGCTAACAGAGCAGATATAAAACATATGCAGAACATGTGGTGGTTATAAATAACTAGTTCCATAAAGGAACCTCCGGATCCGGGTAATAGAGAATAAACATGCTGAGCCCCATGATGGAGCCTCCAGTATGGGTAACAAGGTGCAGACATATTAAGTTCCATAATAGAACCTCCGATACCGGGTAACAGCCAATAGATATTACATGATACTAAGGATGCCACGAATACATTGTCGGAAATTGGACAATCATTCATTGTACAAAACATATCATTTCAGAAAACAGATCTTAATTCTTCACATAGAAAATAAATAAGCTGAATATAACTTTACTAAGTTATTACTCACAGTCGGCTTCGAGTGCAGACAGACAGAGCAGACTAATCAACGGTTTATGGCACGTGACCTACATAGACATTTAACAAACACACACTTGAAACACACACCCAAAACGTACATAACTTTATTTATTTCTAGTACGTTTCTAGCCTTTAACCTTATTAGGGAGTCTTAATCATGGCCTAGGAATGCCTAGGATGGAATGAGGATGCAAAAATGTACCAGAAAAGCATTTTCCAAAACTTGCTGAAAACATGGTTCACACTCGAGCGTGGCTTCCCTCGCTCGAGCGGACATACAAGAAGTGAAGGTTCGGGCCCGTTTCGATCTTTCTCCATGGGTTGTGTCAAAGCAGAGTGCCTGCCTTTGAACATGCCGATGTTCTTTGGGCCCTGGATCCTTCATTCGATGTGTCCTTCGGGACTCTTCTTGCCTTGGCTCCTCTCTTCTGTCTTCCCTGGAAGGTCGGGGTGAGTGCCTTCCACTCCTGGCGTGCTGAGGGGCTTCGGGGATTGCTTTCCTTTCTTCCTTCTGGATGTTAATTGCCGGCATCGGCGTATCTTGCAGCGGGTATGGTGGCTGCATATCATTGTTTTGCATCATGAAGTTGACCACTGACTGTAGGTCTGGCAACTTGTTTGCCAAGTCTTTTACTTCCTCATCTCTTCGTAGGCACCTATCCCTCCATACCTGAAGGTTATCTTTGTTATAATACTTGCTTTGGTCTGTTCGCTTCGAAGTACCACCCTCCTGGCCGACGTCTTTCTCTCCGGTCATGATTTTCTGTACTGTGGTTATCTTCTTCAACGTCAAGATCGATTGGTCTGCCACTCCTAGTAGGAGTGTCGCCCCCAATGTTTTCCCTCTGTCCGTCACTGGCCATCTATTCTTCTAAGATTCCCACAGATGGCGCCAAATTGTGTGGGTAAAAATCTGACCACACTGCCCGCTTAGTAATCAACTGGAGAGCACTGGCAGAATAGATGGCTTCAGCTAACCTGTAACAGAAAGAAAAGGCTCCGGCGGTGGTTCTTCCACCCGGGGGCACTCCGACGATCAAGTCAGTATTTCTCTCAAAGATAATCAAGTGTTAAACTTAATGCTCAAAACATAAATTACATACCTTAGACCCACGGGGGTGCCTCTCTTTTATAGTTTACTCAATCCAAGTCCCGCTAGAAGCATGACTTCTATGAACTCCAATTCAGTGCTTACTTTGGATTCCTCAAGAGATAAAGATAAACTCCCTAAGAGCTTTATCCTTATCTTGACTAAATCTCCTCTTTATCTTAGGACTCTTGTCCCTTATCCGCTTATCTCGGATTCCGATATCTTCGGAGGTAACCTCGGCAACTCCGAGATCACCTCGGCGTAACTACCACGATATGTGGCACCTCGGCTGACACGTCGGTGTCACCATGCCACATGTTGGTACTCAGAAAATATATCCCCACAGTGTGTGCTTACAAACTCTGTGGAAACTTTTGTTCATGGTGAATGTTGATGGAGAAGTTTTAAAACAAAACAGAGTTCATGGGTCTTTTGTGTCTTCTTTTTCTCTCTCTAAAAATGGGTTTCACACTTTTCTTTGTGAGAGCAGTTTTGATCGGCCAAATTCACCCCTGGTCTTTACTTATTTATTTATCTCTCGGCTAAAACAAATTTGACAAAGACCATGGAAACCAATATTTATTTATTTGGATCTCTCAACTTCATATTTTTTAGATTCTGCATACGAAACTAAAAAGAAAATAAAATGGAATACTAATATTTGCATGCATAAAGAACTTTAACAATAACTTGCTATCGTATTTTTTAGACTCTACATATGAAGCTATAAAATATATATATATGAAAAACTAATATTTTCATGCATAAAGAGCTTTAGCAATGGCTTGCTAGGTTCAAGACCCACGTATTGCAATTAGATGCATTCTGGGTCTTTACTTTCTCTCTTTAGAAGTATCCTCGGCAAGAAAAATTGGTAAAGTTAGGACGACTTCAATTACTATAAAGGTTCATGATATTTCATTTCCATAAACTTCTAACTCTATCTCTCTAAATAGAGAAATGTTAGGGATCATAAAAAAAATTTCATGAAAATGATCATGAAAAATTTGTGACCCTGAGATTATCTTGATTAATGTGTGGTGTTTTATTGTAAGTGTAATCTAAAGGTCACAAATCTTTCATGACCATTTTCATAAAAGATTTTTCACGATATCTAACATTGCTGCTCTAAATATAATTTCATGATTTTATTGTTTATATAAAACTATGAACTTTACTAAAATTTTTGCACAGTTTGAGTTGGATTGGTTTAGCATTATTGTTCAGCCAAAACAAAGCCAAAAGGAGATGATCAAATGTCTTCGGCCAGACAAAAAGGAGTTGCTGAAGAACTGTTTCAGCAAGCCAAAGTTACCAACTTGCCAACCAAGAGGTTTCGGCAAGCAAAGATTGAGAAGAGTCACTGACCAAGTGTCTCGGTAAGCCAAAAACCCAAGGTATCGAGACCCAAATGGCAACCTCGTTGAAGTGATGCTCCACCTAAAGAAGTTGTTCAGCGATGCTACTCCAATGATTGTTCGGCAATACCATTCTCTCGGAGGTGCCAACGCATTGTCACAACAAGATTATTTCGGCAATGATCATCCATGTCTATTGCAGCAAATAGCCGAACGGCCAAGTTGCCAAACACTCAGCAAAGCCTAAGACCAAAGTAGTTTTGCTGGCAATAGTATTGCGAGTGTAATAAAGTGTTCTCGGCATAGCCAAAAGGACTTGCCAATCAAGCATTTCGGAAACAAAAAGCCAACAGTAGTGGCCAACCAAGTGGTTTCAGCAAACAAGAGATGAAGTATCGCCGACCAAGAACTTTCAACAAAGCTAGAAAATAAGCATCGCGGAAATGTTTCGGTAAACCATGGAAGTTGCCGACCAAGCATTTCGGCAAGCCAAACAACCGAGAGGTTGCCGACCAAGTGTTTTGGCAACATAAACGACTGAGAAGAGTTGCCAATTAGTCGCTGCCGAGTGCATATTCACCGCCCACTGTGAGCCTTTCCAAGCACTTTTGTCAAGTCCATTCCTCCGCCAAGCGCACTCCTCTACCGAGCACATTCCGCCAATAACACTTTTGCTGAACGCCTTCCTTCAACCGACCACACTTTAACTGAGGACAAGAGCCGAACAATACAATACAATAAGCCGAGCAATACAAAAAAAAAAAAAAAAGTGGCACAATCTTAATTTTGGTCAATTTTCGGCTGTCTCGACATCCAAACAAAGGTAGAATGAGGTGTACGAATGATGGAATGAACACTAGGCCGTGAGATGAATCCCACTGCAAAAATGAGGCAAATTAGATTTATGCTGCGGGAGATACAAGGGCTCAACGTCAGTCATTTGAATCTAGAAATTCTGCTATTAACATTGTGCCGCATGAAGAAGATAACATGAGAGTTTATCGTGTGCTTTTCGGCACAAGGTGCTTCGTTGCATCTTAGCCGTTCAGGTTAATCGGGTGGTCTGATAACTTCAGGAATGACTACCTTAGAGTTTTTCGCCGTCTAGAATCCATTTTTGGAATCCAATTCTGTAAATTCCGAGTCTTAGATTAGGATCAATAAACCGGCCAATAGAAAAGGTTACACGAAAGATCAATGGGCAGATCGTGTTTGATCGACATGCAATTT